TAACAGCGGTGTCCTTGTTCACAACTCTAGTAGAGGTGTGCATGCATGGGACAGTGGACTTTGGCCCCTCACAGAAGACAGCTAGATCTTCTTCAAGTGGTGGCTGTGTTTATTGACCTTCTGACCAGGAATAACAAATAAGTGACCTTCGATTTGTCCTTTGCTCCTGAATAATCCTCTCTGAAGGAGAGAAAAACTGAGCCTTGAGGGTGAGTCAACAAGTATCTTCATCATGTGGCTCCTTCCATTGTTTATGTGCTGTTTGGGGTCTTTTTTTGACAAGCCAAAGTAAAGATGTATCAGAAACCTATAATTAGCAGAGGGCAGAAGGAGACAAGACTGCCTTTAGTCTGTGTGCTGAGCTCCCATTGAATCAATGAGAGCTGAACATGTGGCTCAAGGTCAGTAGAGATGGTTGTGGATCTTATGGTGATGTGATATATGGAGCAGTACAGGGCTCCTTTATTTATATATTTTTCGCCCAGCTCACAATAAAACCCTTTCATTCCTCCTGGTTCGTGACCTGGCCACAGTGACTCACATGTTAGCCACTTCCAGGTTGGGTTATTTTGACTCACGCTGTTTGGACCTCAGCATAAAATTCAGAAGGAAGCCACAGCAGGAGAAATGATAGGGCAGAGGTAAAACCGTGGGACTGTGCCAGGAGCGCTGCTGAGAACCGATCGCATCCTTTGTCAGCAGAGCATCCTGAGAGCTGGCGGAGAGGCACCTTCTGCTGTTGGCTGGAGAATCCTACCTTCTGATTTCACTGAGGGACCCCCATCCTGTATGTGATGTATTTTTTTCTCGTGGGAGGTCCTCTTACTTAATTTTGCAGCCAGGTCAGTCAAGTGACTTGACTAAAGTCACAGAATAAGTCACTGACTCAGAATAAACTGGGGCACAGCACAGGTCTGAAAACAGAGCAACACGTCTCCCAGAGGAAGGGAGCAAGTAGCCTGAAGAGCTGGTGCATCTGTGGCTTTTGCCTTATTGATTGGCAGAGCTTGGTCTTTGAATCCAAGTGAGGTATACAGCATGCGCTTCATTCCTGTTCAAGCTCTCGGATATCCAGGTGGTCTGGCTCTGAGAAACGTCTGTCCTCACCAGTGGATGGATTCCAGGCACCAGTGGGAGTGCTGAAAGAGATTATCTGATGCCTTGCGAAAGAATGAGGCTCCCGGATGAGAAACGAGGCCAGGTCCTGGAGGCAGTGTAGGTCCCTTGCTGAAGGTATTGCAAGCATCGGAAGGGTATTGAGTAGGTGGGACTTGGGGTGTTCTCCAGCCCGCTGATACGAGTCCTCCAATGCTGAGCTGTTACACTTACGAGTACAAGAATGGAGACCTGCTTGTTACAGTCTGTGCTGGTAGGTGGGATATTCAGGTGTGCCAGAGACGTCGTTCCCCTGGCTAGAAAAACAGGAGTTTTATGGATCTGCTGTCCCCAGCAATTCGGGGAGTGGGTGAATCTTTTCACTGCTTTGAGAGCAGCAGAGGATGGTTCCTACCAGGGATCTCTGTTCATGCTTTGGTTGCAGGAACCTTGTCAGGTTTCAAGGCTTTGAAAGCAATATTAAGAATTTGCAGGGTTTGTGCGCAGGTGGGCAGAGGAAGCTCTTGCAACTGTTGCCATCTTTATGTTCCTCCCAGAGGTTGCAAAGAGTTGGGCATAGGAAGATTTTAGAAAAAGCCAAAGGCGGGATGGAAAACTAGGTAGTTTAGCTGAAAGGATTGTCCTTATTGAAAATAACTTCCACGTTGCAAAGCATTGTGTTATTTCTAAGCCTCGTGTTCAAAGCAGAGGGTTGGGCATCTTGATTCGCGAGCTGCGTTCCTGTTCCACCTCTAGCTTCGGGTGTGTCTTCATGCGAGCGATGATGGTGCTTACACCTCAGTTTCCCTTCCTGCAGAGTGGAAAGGAAAGAGCTGAAGTCATTGCAGGTTTGAGAAGCTTAAAACATTACTTTCTGGAAAGCTCTTAGAAGATTTCCCTGATGGAAGATGCTAGTTTAATGCTAGTGATGGTGGTGTTGGTGAAAAACAGACCACATCTGTTCTGCTTGATTAAAATAGTACAGCAGCATTTCAGATGTAAATATTAATTGATTTCTGCACTGCAGATTTCTTCTTGGATATTTAAATTGTTGCTAAGGAGGAGGGAAAGGCTATCAGGGAGATTAACAAATCCATTATTAAGGCTGGAAATGGAGGGCTGCCGAAGTGCCATTTAATAAAATGTAAAAAGCCCTTTTCTAAAGGGCGAAGCAGCAGAACACACAATGAAAGTGAATCACAGCTGCCAGAAGGGATGCCAAGCAGCAAGCACTTATAATCAGAAAACTGTACTTACAGATCATTCGGAGCCACTAAATTAAATGATCTCATTCTCCCCTAAAATACTCTTCCCTTAGCCCCTCCCCAGCGTTGCCTGTGGATTGCTCAACCACATTTTTAATGTGACTTTGGGGGGTTTTTGGTGAGCAGTTGAATAGCATCGGGCCTCTTCGTGCCATTCACTTTCCACCCACTTTTGTTTCTGTCACATACGACTCTGGCATTTTGCAGGCTGACCTGCCCACACGAGCACTTGGGATGGCAACTGAAAGATTTTGCTGTGGCTCCGCGGTCGGCTTGCCTGCCTCTTCAGGGCTCCTTCTTTGGGAAGATGTCCCGCAGCTTACTCTCAAATTTGTCTTTGTTTCACACAGATTTTTTTTTTCTAATTGTACATTGTTTACTTCAGAAACAAAGACTTGGAAGCTGAGCTGATGTGTAAATGGAAGAGCTGATCCTACATCATCTCACGCAGAACTGATCCTGCTGTTACTTCATTCCAGTGCTTATTTAACGCACCGTGTGTATCAGTGTCCCCCTCCTTCACACTCTCATATTTTCTGTCTTGAACTTTAGCTTCAGGAGGCTGACCCTTTGACATGCTCCTAGACTACCCCTTCGTTTTCCAGCCGTGGCTTTCCCCGTTTCATCCCTAGAGTGGCACCACGTATCTCCAAATGTGCCATCGCAAAAGTTAGTGGCAGTGGAGGCTGAGAAGAACCTGGCTTGCGGTGATTTGGGGGCTTCATCATGGGGGTTTTTTTGAGGGGGGGTGTGGGGGCAGTTTAATGTTTAGTATTGCTAATCCTGAGAGGCAAATGGCTCCCTGGTTGTGGAAGCAGGTTAGAGGAAGCACCGTTAGAGCCCAGACATGCTCTCGTGTTAACCCTGCTGTTGCGGAGAGGTGCGTGCATCTGTGTCCCGTTCCCTTTGTGAGTAATCCAAGATCATATAAGTAGTCCCTGAGACTGCTCAAATTTGAAACTTTCCATGTGGTTTTAACACTCTGCTCTATCGGCAGTTTCCAGTGTAGAAAAAACAGGTGGGGAGAGAGAGAATACTGCCTTCCCCCAGTTCTGCCCCAGACAAAAGCCAGTCTTCACACGTGCTGTGATCTGGCTCCGTGTAGGTATGTGAATGGAGGCCGTCCTGCCTGAGCGAGGGCTGGGGCTTGCTTTTCCTCAGTGCAGAATGAGGGAGGTATGGCCCTGAAGGTGGCCCAGCTTCCTTTAGTCTTCAGCTATCCCATCTTAAGAGAAACAAAACAAACCAACCCTTTGAGATTCGGAGATGAAAGGGGCTGTGTAAGAACTGAATAGTGGTATTATTTTTACCTCCATCAGCTGCAAGGCTGCAGTTTTCTGAGGAAACTTCAGAAATGGTGAATCAGCGAAATGTGTTTAAAGAAAAGTGAGCTACCCTGAATCCACTTTTTTCCAGGCCTTCTCAAGTTGAGTGCTGCCAACTCTTGCAGCTTCATCACAAGTCCCTGATACTTTGTGCTCTGCTTAAAGCTCTTGCTACCAGACACAAGCCATTAATTGAGGCTCTCAGCTTTTCTGGGGTTTTTCAAGGTACTTTTCCAGCTCCCATTCTGATGGAGGAATGCTTGCAAATGTAACCAGTCATAACCTAAAGGTTCAGACCCGTGAAAATAACCCCAATTAGAACTACAGAACAAACCCTCCTACCCCTGCAGGGTTTCTCAGTCAGTGTCATTTTGAGATTCAGACTTTTACTCTGAATGTTCTGATTCTGATTTTGAATGTTCTCTCATTGTGCCCTTTTTGAGAGTAGATCAAATATTTTAGAGGCTGGTATCATACGATTAAATGTTAACAGGTTTTTAAGCTACATTCCAGCAAATGTTGGAGCGGGTAAAATTCAGAATCACAGAAGTGATCTCGAGGGTTTGTGCCTGTATGAAAATCAGGATGTGAATACATTATTAAGATGCTGAGAAGAGTGATCAGACTGCAAGGTATAGGTGTGACAGTATTTGTTAAAATGTTGAGATGGTCACCGTTGTTACTTGTTTATGTCCTGCTTCAAATATAGTGAGATTGCTGTCTGTGACATCTTTTGTCTATGATCTCAAAGGGCTGTGTTCACATTAAAAAACGGGTCTTGCACCTGTGTCTCCCATCGGAAGCCCTGTAAGAGTCACTCCAGGTGACTTCCCCGAGCCTGGCACCTTGTCTTTAGCGACATCTCCACAGGTGAGGTGTGGAAAGCTCCCACCCTGTGGCTGCAGCTTTTTCTTTTGTAGCCTCTCTTTGCTTCATTCTTGCCACAGTCCTGGCACTTCCATGTGCAGAAAGCCCTGGTCTTTGCAAGGAGAGGGATGAAGTGGCTGCAGGTCCCTCCTGCCTCCTGGGCGAGTCTGTCTCGCCCCTAGCGCGTTGGTGGAGTGTGGAGCTCTGGCCTGCAGGCTGCTGTGGTGTGGCAGCGGCTGCTGCCCGTGGGTGACTTCCCCAGCCTGTGCTGGTGGTGGCCCGGGGGAAGCCGTGCCCACTCATCACCTCAGGGCCTGAGTGGGCACACACGACCATCGCCTCAGGGCCTGGCTGCTGCCGCCTCAGGGCCTGAGTGGGCAAACAGCCATCGCCTCATGGCCTGGCCACCATCACCTCAGGGCCTGAGTGGGCACACAGCCATTGCCTCATGGCCTGGCTGCTGCCACCTCAGGGCCTGGGTAGGCACACAGCCATCGCCTCAGGGCCTGGCCGCCGCCACCTCAGGGCCCGGGGAGGC